TACAGTATGGTTACAGTAGCTGTACCACATTATTTCATCATCTGAAATTAGCCAGTTAAGACATTTAGACTTTTCATTAGTTTACACACAAATGATATCTTACAGAAAAAGGTGAGTGTTTTTTCTAATTTTGGGGTAGACTTTTTTTTATAGCTTGCTACATTCTGACAAACTACCTGTCAAGAACACAAAACAATTTATACATCCAGCATGTGATTTTTTTTACCTCAGCAAAATTTAAAGCAAGGTTCTGGTGTTCTGATTAATATGTTCAAAGTGGACTTCTTTCCCTTTTATTCCTTACCTATGTAACAGTTTTCAATAATGTGGTTATTCTGAAACTATTCTTTCCTGTACAAAATAATAAAAAGAAATCTGTATCCAAACTTCTTTTTACATCCTTGGTAAGCAATATTCTGAGTTTTCAATTTAAGATCTGATATAATTTTGCTCTTTTAATTATACTACATTTTAAAGATTAATTGAAATTACTTAGTCACCCAAAAAGTGTTTTATTGTCAAGATCTAAAATGGAAGTGTTTAGATAGATATATCAGTCTCAAATTAATCTTAATATATACTAAACACATGAAAGCAACCAGTCACTGTTCTACAATAATTAACCTCACTCTGGTTCATTTTTAAACTATATAATGGGAGACAATTCAGATAGCATTTAAGGGTTGAAATAAACAATATAAATATTTAAATAATCCTTCTGTGTAAAAGAAAACAGACTCAAACAAAGAACCCGAGTTACTAGTGGAATGAACAAACTGAGACTGTCACAGATTCTGAAGACATCTTAATATCTCAGAATGGTTAAACGTTGAGTAAAGGGCCCTTCTCCATCAAGAGTTAAGGATCTTCTCCGTTATGAGGAAAGGGGACTTTCTCCATTATCATTCCTTCTGTATTACCTTACAACTGGGATATGGTCTGACATCCCCTCCCCAACCCTATGTGGTGGGGTTTTAAGAAATGAAGAAATCATGTGGGCTCTAATATCATGAAATGTGGCTTACAGAGGAGTAGCTCCAATTAGCTTAGGCTTTTGTACCCTTCTGCCTTCCACCGTGTGTGACCCCATCACTAAGCCCTCACAGACTCATCTTCCTGAGACAGCCACATAGTGCCATTTCAGAAGCAGAGAGTAGCCCTCACCAGATACCAAAACTGCTGTATCTTTATCTTGAATTCCTCTGCCCTCAGAACTGTAACAAATAAATAGCAACCTTCTTTCAGGTCAGGAGTCCATAGTTACAATGTAACCAGTTTACCTTTCCCCACCTTTTAGGAAGTATTATTACAATGCAGTTCACATACTGTCTCCCTATAGTCTTTCAGAATGACTTTCTTACCTGGTTAGTTGAACATTTTGACAACAAATAACACTACTTAAAATCTTGGAAAAATATTAATAGAGCCTATGAACACTGGCTTAAAAAATCAAGCATTCTTTTTTTTTTTAGGCCAAATATTATAAATACTAAGCCTTCTGGCAACATTAAAGCTGCTATAGGGCTGGAGCTGGGGAGCTGACTCAGTGGCTAAAGCATTTGCTGCTCTTACAGAGGACCTGGGTTCAGTTCTCAGCACCTACACAGTGGCTCACAACCTCCTAAATCCAGATCCACGGATCAGATGCCCTCTTTTGATCTTTGCAGGGATCAGGCACACAAATGGTGCACATACATGCAAACAGGCAAAACACTCATGCTACTGGGGCTCTCATCCTCTGCTTCTATATTACCCCTTCAACTAAAATTAACGTGAGCTTTAGTAAGGGAGTAGGACATCCTCAAAATACATGATACGTGAGTAACAGTGTCTATGAAGTGCTATTTGTACTGATCAGTAACATAAAACCCAGAAGTGGATGGTACGAAATGAGCTTGCAAGAGGAATTCTCCCCAACGAGACAGGTGCCTTCAAGAAGCCCCACTTAGAGGTAGTGGAGTGTATGCTTAGCATGGGAGTACCCAGTTCACACAAAAGTCTGTAAAAATGTTCACCCATATATAATGTTAGGGCTTGCCTTACATATATTATTTTAAAACATTTCCAAGTTTCACCTCCTGAAATGACCTAAAGGCAGTATTTTTACTCCTATGTAAATCCTAACCACATCAGACATCACTGATGGATCCTCCTCTGATCACCTTTCAGACATCACTAATGGATTCTCCTCTAAGCCTCAGCTATCATTGAATTATGCTAATGTGCCCATCTCTGGCTCAACTTCAAATTCCCTCAAGGCAAATGCAGCTGCCATTCACATTTCTTTTTCTTTCGACTTACTAAGTAAGCCCCCCTCAGCATCTGCTCTAGAGCTTAGATGATATGGTGGCCTCACAAAGGAATAGCAAAGCAAATTTTAAGGTGCTTTATATTTCACAAATGCTTGTGTCAGACACAATGATCATGAAAAAAACTGCACTAGTTACACGGTGATTTCACATCAAGACATGCTCATCCCCACGCAGCATGCATCTAAACTAATAATTTATGATGCTTGCTCAGGACTTTTTAGAAGGTCTTCAGTGTCAGCGATTTCTCTTTGTATTCTTTTTGTTCTTGTCCCTCATCTCTCATCATTTAACCCTTCCTGTTCCATCATTTCCCTATCCCCCTTTTTGTATGAAATTCTCTCAAAACAAAAAAGGCTTCAACTTGCCAGGTGGGGATGGCACATGCCTTTAATCCAAGCACTGGAGAGGCAGAAATCAGCTTGGTCTACAAAGCAAGTTCAGGACTATACAGGGAAATCCTGTCTCAAACAAACAAACAAACAAACAAACAAATAAACAAAACAACAAAACAAAAACCAAAAAAACCAGTCTCCCAAACTAAAAAGAAAGCCTGGGGCCGATGGGTTTAATACAGAGTTCTACCTAATACCCAAACCACACAAAGACTCAGCAAAGAAAGAGAATTCAGATCAATTTGCCTGATAAACATTGATACAAAAACATTCAATAAAATACTCGCAAACCAAATCCAAGAATACATGAAAAAGACCATCTACAATCATCAAGTAGGCTTCATCCCAGAGATGCAGGGACAGTTCAACATACGTACATTGGTCACTGTCATCCACCATATAAACACACTCCAAGACAAAACCACATGATCATTCATAACATGCAGAAAAGGCCTTTGACAAGGTCCACCATCCCTCATGATAAAAGTCCCAGAGAGACTAACTACAAGGATATATCGCAACATAATAAAGCTCACAGCCAACATCAACCTAAACAGAGAGAGAAATCCAAACATTTTCACTAAAATCAGGAACAAGACAAGGCTGTCCACTCCCTCTATACCTATTCAGTACATGCAATACATGAAGTCTTAGCTAGAGCAATGAAACAACTGAAGGACATCAAGGGGATACAAACAGGAAGGAAGAAGTCAAAGCATTGCTGTTTGCAGATGATATCATCTTATACATGAACGACCCTAAAAACTCCACCAGGAAACCCAGCAACTGACAATCACTTTCAGCAAAGAAGCACAATACAAAATTAACTCACAGAAATCAGTATCCTTCCTATATGCGAATAACAGACTGAGAAAGAATTCAGAGAAACAATATCCTTCATGATAGCCTCAAAAAGTACCTAACCAATTAAGTGAAAGATGTGTATAGACACTGAAGAAGAAATTGAAGCAGATCTCAGAAGATGGAAAGGTTTCCAGTAGGATTGAGTTAATGAAAATTGCTATTCTACCAAAAGCAGTCTATGGCTTGAATGCAATCCTCACCAAAATTTCAACACAATTCTTCACAGAATTTTTTATTTTAAATTACATTTATTTATTTATTTATTTATTTATTTATTTGAGTGAGGTTCCCCCTTTTACTATAGATTTTTTTTCTCATGCAATATAACCTGAGTACAGTTTTCCTTCTACTCTACCCAGTTCCTCTCCATCTCCTCTCCCTTCTGCATCTACTCCCTTTCTCTCATTGGAAAAGAACAGGCTTCTAGGAGATAACAATCAAACAGGCAAAATAAAATAAGATAAAACAAAAACTCTTACATTGAAGGTGGACAAGCCAAGCCAAAAACAAAATAAAAAGCCCCCAGAGAAGGCACAGGAATCCGAGCCTCTCTTGTTTACACAGTCTGGACACTCATAAACACTAAACTGAATGCTAGAGTATATATGAAACAGATCTCATACAGACCATGGGGCTCACTGAATTCCAAGGGGAGGGATTTGATGAAGACATCTCATTTAGACTGTCTTCCCAAAACCTTTTTTCAGTTTCACATGGAAACACACTCAACTATGACTCAGTGATAAAAACAGCATGGTAGTGGAGTAAAAATCGACATGCTCATCAATGGGACTGAATCAAAGACTCAGATATAAGTGCACACACCCATAGGCACCTGACTTTTGACACAGAAGCCAGAAACACGCACTAGAAAAACAGGAAGCACCTCCAGTAAATGGTGCTGGTAAAGCTGGATAGCTTCATCTGGGAGATGGACAGAGATGGGAGTGTGAATCGGTCCACAACCGCACTCCACAGAGCAAACCTCCTAATGGATCAGCGCAACATAAGACCAGATACACTGAATCTGATAGAAGAGAAAGGGAGGATAGTCTTGAAGTCACTTGCACAAGAAAACTTTCTGAACAAAGAACATCATTAGCAGTGATACTAAGACCAACAATTGATAAACAGGACCTCATCAAACCAAAAAACTTCTATTTGAGCAAAGAGGCAGGCTGCAGAATGGGAAAAGATCTTTACCAATTACACATATGATAAAGAGTTAGTATCTAAAAATTATAAAGAACTTAAAAAAACCAGACATCAAGAAAACAAATAACCCATCTTAAAGATGGGGCACAGAGCTAAGCAGAGAGTTCTCGGGAGATAAAACACAGTGGCTGCGGAGCACTTAAAGACTTGTTCAGCATCTTTACTCGTCAGGGAAATGCAAATCAAAACTACTTTGAGATTTCATCTTACACCAGTCAGAATAGCCAAGAGTAATAAACAAAGACAGCTCCTGCTGATGAGGGTGCGGGGAAAGCAGGCACTCACTCTCTGCTGGAGGGAGTGAACCTGTACAGCCACTATGGAATCAGCATGGCGGTTCCTCCAGAACCGGAAGTAGATCTACTTCAGATTTACCCCTCTTGAGCACTCCATCCGTCAACAGAGATACCTGCTCATCCACGCCCCCTGCTGTCTGCCCATGGTAGAAACTGGAAACCACTTGGGCGCTGACGATGCTGACTGATGAGCGGAGAACGACGGGGTACACTGACACAACGGAGTATTATTTGCTGTTCAAACAGTCAAATTATGAAACTTAAAGATAAAAAAAAAAGGAGCTAGAAAAAAAAACATTTGAAGGCAACCCAGATTCTAAAGAACAAGCAGTGTATGTGTCTTACATGTGGATACTAGCTTTTAAGCCTTCAATGTACATGCTATAACCTGCATAACTACAGAGGTTACATACCTGGTAAGGGACTCTAGAGAGGAGAGGATCTCCCTAGGAAGGGAAATAGAATATACAGAGATGGAGAAACAGGTGGGGCTTAGGGGGAGACTGCAGCGGGATGACTGACTGGAGTAAGGGATGATGGGAGTGGTTAGAGGGACCACGAGCAGAGACAACTGACACTAAGGGCCACTTATGGAATCAGGCGAAAATTCACTACTGAAGAAGCTTACTAAAACATATACATAGATGGAAGAAATCCAAGAGGAGTCACCACATAATCGTAGAGACAATGCCAACTAGACATCTTTCACAACCATGTGAAACCGCCTAGGTTAGGACTCGGTTACATCTAGGTGAGTTGTTGGCCCAAGAGGCCTTATGGGAACTCCCAAACATCTCAGGCTATTGCCAAACCAATTGGTTGCTCTCTACCAATGCATAGTAAGATACTATTGCTAAAGAGAACACTTACATATTTCATTGAACATGGAGAAGTTGAGCTGCTGCCTAACCAGAGGCTTCACCCATATTGAGTGCTTATGGAAGATACTCTGCACACTACCAAAGGTGAACACAGACTCAGCTACAAACCAATCGTTAACAGTGAACTGATGGATGTCAGAGACCAGGACCCCTAACAGGGACCCCTGCCAGCCTTCCCCCTCGCTTGGAAACCGAAGCCTTGTCACCCACCTACATCCTGTTCAGTTGAATACCTTGACTATGCCTCATCCTGCTGAAAGCTGATGCACAAAGAGATAGCTACTTCTGAGAAAAGCCCCTAACCACAAAATGTTCTAGGGCACAGGCCAAGAAGAAGCTGTACCTTTCCATGACCCCACCTGCCTTCCCCCTCCCCTAACCCGAGCTTGTTATAAAAAGCTTGCCTTTTTTAAAATACACGGCTCTTGACAAGCAACCGTTTGCTTGGGTCCTTCCTTTCTCTCGCCCGTTTCTCTTCCAGGTTTTGGTTCCCCTCGCCCCCACGAATAACTGAGACCCGCAGGTCGGGTCAGATGGACAGACATACTGGCAAACACTGTGGGAACAAGCAGCCACTGGGTGGTTAGAGTCAAGGCCCTCCCCATTAGATGGAGCCCGTGTGTGCCCCTGGTCAAGGGGCCAAAAACCTGACACTGAGTCATAGGCCTAGGGGAGAACCAAACACTACTGTTCTGCTAAGGGACATAGCAACAAAATGACTCCTAACCACATTCTGCTATACTCACAGCTCAGTGCCACACTCACCATTATTAGGCTTTTATCCTGCAGATGGGAACTACTACTGAGGAGACACACGAGTGGACAACGAGTGGAAGAGGAAGCGGAAAGACTGACAACAGGACCAATAACACAAACTCACAGAGACTGTGGCAGCATGCACGGGGCCTACAAAGGTGCAAGTCAGAGGGGAAGTGGACACGGGCTCCCACCCCTCTCCAAGGAGCCATCTCCAAGTAACAACCACTTAAAAGAAAAATGAGCTTTTTCCCAATGGAGTGTCATTGGGAACTGAACCACACTTAAGAGCAGCTCCCCTACTCAGCAGTAGATGGCCAACACAAGACAACCTCAGTGGTATTCTTACAGACTTCTTGTTCAGATTTGCTGTTTGGGCAGCACTTTTTTTCTTACTGGTCTTTTGATTTTGTATTATGATTTCTGATGTTTTTGTGATTGTGTGTGTCTCATGATTTTGTTTGTTTTTGTCCCCCTGATTGGGTTTTTGTGTTTTTGCTTGCCTGTTAGAGAAAGAGAGAGAGACAGAGACAGAGACAGAGAGAGAGAGAGAGAGAGAGAGAGAGAAGGGGGAGGGAGAGGAGGAGCTGGGAGAAGTGGGGGAGTGAAAATCATGATCAGGATACATTGCATGAAAAAACTTTCAATTAAAAAAAAGGAACTTCAGTAAATTAGTATAACAATGTGTCTATTTCTTCAATAAAAAACATGGATCCAGGTACAGTGCAGCATATGCATGTAATCCCAACATTCAGGAGACATGAGGCCAAACATGATTCTGAAGCTAACTTGGGCCACACCAGAGACACTCGCCCATAAGAAATTGACATTAAAGTCAGCCTCACATAACAAATACGTATGACACGACTTTTATGTAAGTTCAGAAAGTCTCACTTTTTATAGTACATCAAAGGAGCTGGAAAAAGATTGGTCTTACCTTTAATGTGACATCACAGAGCTCCCCGTTTTCATAGAAGCCCAGGAGAGAGCTGTGAAAGTCCTTCCAGGCTTCGTTGGCTTCGAAGATGAAGGAGTCGTCGCCATCGCACTCACTGCCGGAGGACCTGCTCCTCACCTGCTGCTGCTGTTGCTGCTGACGCCGCCCCCTTGTCACGTGACTCCTAATTTGTTTCCCATTGGTAGATTCTGAAGCCATTTGCAACACTCTTCTTTTTATACAGCTCTCTTCTGAAACATCCCATTTATTCTTTTTTTAAGGGTGAGAAGACAGACGATAGATATGGGCACTAAATTTCAAACATCTTTCAAAAGTCCTTCAATTTCATGATACAGTTTGCTGAAATAGCAAAAAAAGTAGCAAAACACAAAGATAAAAGATGTTATTGTTGATTATAATTATCGATACAATATATGTATCCACACTGATCATCACTGGTGAAACCCTGTAGCTTTACACCAAACAATGCCTGAGTCACTTCATTTAGCTGCACAAGTGAAATTACACCTTTAAAATTCAAGCAAAGCCAGGCAGTGATGGTGCACACCTTTAATCCCAGCACTTGGGAGGCAGAAGCAGGAGGATTTCTGAGTTCAAGGCCAGCCTGGTCTACAGAGTGAGTTCCAGGACAGCCAGGTCTACACAGAGAAACCTTGTCTCGAAAAAACAAAATAAATATAAATAAATAAATAAATAAATAAATAATAAAAATAAAATTCAAGCAAAAACAACTAAAGGGTATAACTTCAAAAACATGGAATCCACTGGGTTAAAAAATAAGAAGCTTGGCTGGGCAGTGGTGGTGCATGCCTTTAGTCCCAGCACTTGGGAGACAGAGGCAGGCGGATTTCTGAGTTCGAGGCCAGCCTGGTCTACAGAGTGAGTTCCAGGACAGCCAGGGCTACACAGAGAAACCCTGTCTCAAAAAACAAAAACAAAAGAAGCTAAAAAGTTTAGGTCTAAAAACTTTCTTTGTGGACTCAAAGCAAAAATCAAAGGTTATTTTACTGGATTAAGTTCTTTTAGATTCTGTGTTACACTGATTCCATCACTTACAAACTGCTTAAGCTTTAGTTATTTCTTCTGAGAAATGAGTATATCACTTAGAGGAATATTTTTAAGAATTAAAGATACACAAGCAGAAACAGCTGAACTGTAGCATACAGACCTTACTGTATCTGCATTTCCACATACAATTTATTATTTATATACAAGATCAAACTTACTTCATTAACAAGCACATTTGATGAATATTCATATCATTAATAAATATATTCTACAATTCTGTCTAGGTGATGGAAACAAAGGGGTTTAAGTTAAACTATCTGCTACCACTTACTGGATGAGATCTCTCTTGAAGGGTTTTCCTAACCCTCAGTTTCTCTATCCATAAACAGGACTACCCAAGGGTTGCAGGAAGTGCAGTAGTAGACTTCAGAGGTATGTACAAAATGGTAAACTATGTTGCAGACATTTGTGTGAGAATGGAAACTTAGACTAATATGCAGCCTCTGAGAATGAGACATGCCTTAACCAGAGCTCCAGGTCTATGAAGGTCTTTACTGTTGTTCATCTCTTCTCTCAGCTTTTGTCAGACGCCAAAGCAGGTGACATGAGATTATGGACTGTAGTTACTAATATGTGTGATGGTGACCCCTAACAGGTCACTCTTCCCATGACCCCCTTGCTGTAACCAACCTCCAAGCTACAGAAAGTGGGAAGGGAACGGGATGCTGCACTCTTGATTACAGAGATTTCAGAGAACAGTATAAGAGAAAGGATCTCCTGCAGCCCATGAAGTCACCATATAAAGCAACCCCTAGGACCTGAGGGAGGCCTCTACTTGACAGTGAAAAGCTAAGGCCCTCAGCCATGCAGCTAAGAAGAAATAAATTCTAGAAGCAAAGATTCTCCATGGCTCAAACATGGGAGAATGCAGTCTGACCACTTTTAATATAGACTTACTTACACAGACTTACTGTGAGATAAGAAATGTGTTGTTTTAAGTCATTAGGTTTCTGTAATTTGTTATGTACAACAGGTACAACTATAGTTGGATCTCAGATCCCACCCAACCCACGTGTTAAATGGTCAGGCTGACAAACTTGGGTACTATTGGGAGGTGACAAAACCTTTTAAAAGAGGTGAGGCCTCACAGGGGGAGTCAGATTGGTGGGGCACACCTCTGAAGATGACGCTGGGCATTTCCTCTCCTTGTTTCCTGACCACTATAAAGTGAGCCGTTTCCATTATACCCACCTCCACCATGGTGCACTTGCCTCCTTAGAGGCCCAAAGGCTGTAGGACAGAACAAGTATGGACTGAAGTCTCTGAAACCGTGAGCCAAAAATCCCTATTTCCTTCTTAAAGTTGGTGTTTTGTTCACACCAAAAGCTACCACAGAAACTTTCTGTCAGGTTTAAATTCTTATCATAGGCAAGTATTTATCAATATTCTAACATGTATCAACAACAATAACAATGGTGTCTGTGTGTGTGTGTGTAGCTGGACGTCTACATCAGGCATCTGAATGCCTTCCACTTCATTTCTGAGATAGGACTCCCAATGAACCTGAAGTTCACAGTGACAACTAGGTTGTCTCTGTCCTTGGCACCACAGCCCCTGGCCTTTACATGGGCTCTGAGGAACGAAGCTTGGGTCCTTGTGCTTGAGCAGAAAGCAATTTATTAACCACCCAGCTTCCCATCTCCCTATGGCTGCTCTCTTAAGTTCCTGTCCCTATTTCAAAATCCTAGAGCCAAGCATGTAGTGTACACCTATAATCCAAGCACTCTGGAGACTGAGGCAAGGTGACTGTTCTGAATTTAAGCTGCATGGTGAGACACAATCATAAGAAACAGAAACGGACAAAGAACAAAGAGAAAACAAGTATTATAGTCAAAACCTCCTTTCTGCAAGAGTCAATGAGTGCGCAACGTTGGCTTTGAGGGCCGTTTGTACTCCATCACCACTACTCACTCAGTTCTGTGTTTGGAGGGAAAGAGTGGCCCCACATGATATAAACAAAAGAGCACAGATGTGTCCCAACAAAAGTTTAAAATGTATTTGGTGGTTACAATTTTGTTCAGCCATAGTTTGTGTATATACTTTGCAAGATAACCATCTTTAATTTAAGCTAAATAAATCCTAGTCTGAAAACACTGAAAGAAATTTACCAGAAACAAATAATTCAGAGGCTTAAAACAGAGACTGAAATTCTAAGGAGCAGGATAAACTCTTGTCCAGCTCTGCTCCACCTGCTCAGGATGTGAGTCCTATGTTTGTGTAGTGTAGCCAATCTGCAGACATATTCCACGCTCGGTGCTTAGTGGATGCTGTGGGATCGCAGTGCACATATCCTGGGTAACCCACATGCAGTAGCCTAACACTATGTCCAGAACCTACAGAACTTGCCTGTGTGCTGCAGTACTGTCATCACATGAGCATGCTATAAGACATTCTGAAAGAAAGAATGAGACTGCATCCATGCACTCTGATTACAGCATGTGCATATAGTTATTCCATTCCATTAAATGATATTCATTTATTACAAGTAATTCCACGGATGATGGTGGTGGTGGTGTGTATGGTATAGAAGTCTAGCATTTGCTATAGCATAGACTCAGAAATCAGAGGACAACTCTGTAAGGTTAGTTCTCTCTTCTACCTTTATGTGGAGTTGGGAGATCAAACACAAGCTGTCAAGCTTGTTTGGCAAGTGTTTTGTCCTACCACATCATTTTGTCAGGTAAACACTTTATAGTAAGTATGTACACACAAACACTGTCTACTTGGGGCCAAATTCAATATCTCAGGTATCTATTGGTAGTCCTAAAACACATTGCCCAAGAGCATCACTGTAACAGTCTCAAATGACAGGACAAGAGAGGGGGTTCTATAGGAAAGGGAAAGTTGAGGAGGCGGGGCTGTGGCTTCAAAGAGGGAACAGAAGAGATCTAAGCTGTTCTGACAGGACCATGCTGTATTCTCACTGTAGTATGTGGTAGGGTGCGTGCTCCACGCGCGTACACACACACACACACACTCACACACACACACCAGCTAGGGCCAAAGACAGGTGAAATACGAATTATCACTGCAAATCTCTAGTCCTGAAGCCACACACAATGTTACCCCTGCGGGTACATGGGATTCACTATTTGTAACTAATGCAAACAAATCTACTGGTATCTTAAATTAGGCCTTTGAAATTAGACAAGCATTCATAGATTGGATGAAAAAGAAAATTCCAAGTATAAGCTGCATATAAGAAAAACCCATTTAAGTCTCAAAACACAAATACACCAGACAGAAACGAGATGTAACTAGACTGTTTTTTTTTTTTAATGCACAGAAACAGCTAGGTCATTAAAAGACAGACTTCAATGCAAAGAGGTCACTAGAGAGTTAAAAGGAGAAGCTACAGAGACAGGACATCAGCAGGGCAGGAGGATTACAAGCTTGAGGACAGCCTTGGCTTCCCTGGAAGCTCAAGCTTAGCCTGTGTTATACAGCAAGACCTTATCTTAGTGAAAACTCAAGTTAGGGGTGCAGGCTAGTGGTTGGGCACTTGCCTAGCATGTGTTCAATCCCCAACACCAGAGGAAAAGAACTACCAACGAAATAAACAAAAACCCTGAATATCAAGTGCAAAAGAATGAAGCTGGTCCCTTGTTGGGAGCCGACTCCTAGCCGAAAGTGGCTATCATCTTTGCAGCCATCTCAGGCCATATACCCTGACAAGAGACTTGTTTTCAACAGCCCACAACAGCTGAGCACACTCTGAGAAACATCTTGTTTTTCTCATATATCTTGTTTTGCTGTTTAGTGCCCCCAGCTGCAAGGCGCGCGTGATAGCCACGTAGCTGGGTGCACGTGGTCTCCTCACTGCTAGCTAGGTGCACGTGATATCCACGCTGCAAGGCACATGACGTAGTGCCTTCAGCTGTGCTTGTCCACGAGGGCAAGGCACGTGGTAAAGGGTATAAATACCCAGAATTTCCTTCCAATGAACGAGACTTGATCAGACTCCCTGTCTTGTCTCCATTCTTCGCGTCTCCGTCCCCACTCTCTCTGTTGCTAGGCCCTGACCTGCGGACCAGAGCAGCAGAACGGGCGGCTACAAAGTGGCACCTCAACGTTGGAGCTCCAGTAAGCGGGATACAGTGAAGGACACAGCGGGAATTGGAAGCGTGCATCCTCACTCCTGTGCTGGAGACCCTGCTGACTGACCCGAACAGGCAGCTACAGTCCCTTACCTTCTGTTACTGATGAACACTAACTAAGAGTGGAGTTGGAACATAAACGCAATCCTGACACAGGAAACTACTAGGGGTCAG